CCCTGTGCAGCCGCCCAGATCACTAGTAGCAGCCTGCTTATTCCCCAACCCCCTACCTCTCTGCCATGATTTTTGGGGGCCCCCGCTCTTCTAGGGACCTGTGACCACAGCAGATGACTTCAGGATGGAGAGTGGGGAGCAGACCGGAGAATGTCCGTTCTCCAAGCTTCTCTGTGTGATCAGTGAGTCAGGAGCGCTGTTGTCACAAAGATTCCAGTCCCGGCTGTCGCAAGCCAGACTGCACAAGAGATTGAGCACAATGCTGTGCTCGATCTTCTATATTGAAGTACAGGTTTCAAAAAGAGAACCTGTCACCTCCAAATGGTCCAATGCTTGTTGTCCCCCGTGTGATAACAATAAAGTTAAGAAGAAAAAAATAATAAAAAAAGTGATACAAGTTAAGTAAAAAAATAAATGGAAAACCAATCCAGTCGCCCCCCACCATCTGCATGGGAATGGGCATTGAGTATGTGCTGCCCCTAGTCCACTGTTTGCCATGTTGTGGTAGCCGGCAGCAGCGCTCTCTAACACGCACAATGTGCATTAAAGGGTAAGTTCACTTTCCCAAAATTCCCTAATTTTGGGAAAATGGAATTACCCGCTCAAATCTGGCCCCCTCCCTCTCCCCTGAGTGCCTGACTACGCTGACCAATGAGAAGAGCTTCTTAGCACAGTTAAATTATATTTTTGTATCTGGACAAGTAGATTTTCATGAGTGACAAGTAGATTGGGCCCCTGCTTTAGCCTTGGATAAGTAGTTTTGTTTTTTAGATTTCCACACCCCTGAGCACAGATTTGAGTCCAAGCCATTTATTAAATTTTCTGTGAAAACCGGTGACAAGTTGGTCATTGTTACGTGCTTGTTACTTTTGCTGACAGTCATGAATTAATAATGGTATAAAGTTGCTCGGACATTTCCTGTATCGTGATGGTCACCAGCTCTTGGCACCCTCTTTACCTTTGAGAACACCTATGGGCTTCCTTCTGTATGTTATCAGATATATAGATCTCTCGTAATCATATGAACAACATTTTTTTCCAGAAACACTTCGTCAAGCTCCCAAGCACTTCATTTTATCTGAATGTACTCTAGCTGGGTCTTATGCCATGTCTTGGCGCTTGCATGTGGAATTGGTTAGCTGTCCACTTTTTCTGCTATTCTATAAATGATTTCATGCTCGTAATAAAAATATATTTGTTTTCTGTTTGGCAGAAAAAACATGTTCCTATTTGCCAAAAAGCAGGTGTTAAGAAAAGGAAAGTTTTTGACTCCAGCAGGCAGCGAGCAGACGGAACGGAAATTTCTACTGTCAAACCAGTAAAACCACGGGTAAGTGACTGCTCATGGGAATCATTAAAGTGTATCTAAAACCAAAAACAAACATAATTCAGCTTACCAGTCCTTAGATGTGGCAGCTGCATTAGTTTCCTTTCCTGGTGATTTTGCCAGTAACACACTTCCTGTACTAGGATGAAAACGCTCACTCACTGAATTGTGTTTATAGAGGAGCAGCTTGTTACCCTAGCACAGGAACTGTTAGGACCACATTCTACCTCTCTTTTACTTAATTTAATAACATAAAAGGAGCTGTTCTGTAATTCCCATGTTTTGTCTCTAATAGCACACAAGCATGGCCACACCAACAAGAGTGGCACGGATCTAGTGCGGTAAAGTTACTTTAACTCCTTTGTGACGGGAGACGTACACTGTACGTCTCACCACAAAGTGCCCAAATGACTCGTCACGTACACTGTACGGAGCAATTTATTTGCTGCTTTACAAGGCTGGTAACCGCTGAGAATCAGCGGTTACCATTCATTGATGGATGCCTGGTTATAGAGGCATCCATTAATGAAAGAGTTAGCCTTTTTCAGACACCCGATCCCCTTCAGAAATCGGGTGTCTGAGAGTGAAAGCAGACCCGCATTTGCAGCTCTTGTCGGCACTCTGACAGCTGGTTTAGATCGGGGAATCCCGATCGTATACCGGCTCCTTTTTTTTTTTTTTCTTTCTAGAATAGAAACATAATGAGGGAAATGTATCAAAACTGGAGCAGACAAAATATGGCCCGTGGCAACCAATCGGCATACACCTTTCATTTTCAAACCTTAACCAAACAAACTGAAGAGAGAAGCTGATTGGTTGCCATGGGAAACTGCTCCAGATTCTCTCTGCTCCAGTTTTGATAAATTCCCCTCAATGTATCTATTCCTGAAAGAATGTTTCAGTTTTCTGATCGTTGTTGTAACGATCAGAAAACCTTTAGTGACACTGATCCTGAAATGCTGCAGGATCAGTGTCACTAAGGTAATTATTGGCTGTTCTGAGCTTTGAAGCAGCCTAATAATAACTAAAAATGAATTGATTCATTTATCAAGCAGTAATAGTGAGAATATTTCACAATGACTGCTTGATATAATTAAATAATTTAAAAAAGTGTAAAAAATAGTAAAAAGTGTAAATAAAAAAATTTAACAAAATTAAAATGATATATTGATATTGTATGCCAGGTGACCACTTTTAACTTTTTAGAGAAAAAAAGATTAAAATGTTAGGTTTTAGTTTTAGGCCGAGTAGTACAGAAACATTTCAAAAATCCTAGGGATGTGAGGTTTTTCCAAATAAATGAATGTATTTATTGTATTTTTTTTAGCTGTGCTGTTTTTGTAAAAAAAAAATACTACAAATCAAAACTGGGAAAAAGTGTTTTCCTTACGTTTTTTTCCTCCCTTTTTTTTTTTTATATTTTATTTGTCCTAAGTGAGGCGTTAGGAACACACATGTGATATAATTATATAGCCCTATCTGTCCTCTAAAAAACAACATATAATATATGTGGGCGCACTTTGTAAGAAAGTATATTACTGACGTGGAAGAATCACACAGCAAAAATGTCAAAAGTGCGTCAGTCATTTACGAACAGAAACGAAAAACAAGCTCAGTCATGAAGGGGTTAATAGACTAAAATCCAAAAAGGAACAATAAAACGAATGAATAGCACTTATGGTCTTGATGATGAATGCCTCACTTTAATCCTTTAACCTCGTAAGTGTGTCTCCCTTTTCCATGTCAATCCCAGTGTCCCTGAATGCTGTTCATTCCTGCCACTGCACATGGACTTTTAGACTCTACAAAGATGAGCTCTGTTCATACGTTTTATTGCGAGTGCATTTTTTCACTATTGGATTGTAGTCCATTAAAGTAATACTCCGGGCAGAATGATAAATGACATATTGCACTGGGTGTGTGAATTATTTTTAAATATCATTAAAAAGTTGGGTGTTATGTGCAGAGGGCAGCTGCAAAGTTGAAAAATCTTACCTTGGAGCGTGCTGCACCCACACAGAATGCTCAGCTTCCATGCACACAAGACAGGGAGCGATGCGTCCCGAGCTGTCGAACTCTGGTCGTATCATCTGCCCCTCCTCACTATCCTCCAACTAGAAAGTGTCTTGTATTTTTTTTTATAGAAGACCAGGCATTCTGTGATTGGAGGAGGAGAGATGATGTTACATCCCTACCACCTTCTCTCCTCCTCCAATCACATAATTTTCTGTCTACTTTACAAAAAAATACATGACATCTTCTGAATGGAGGATAGCGAAGAGGGGTGGGTGATGCGACCAGAGCATTCTACAGCTCAGGATGCATCTCTCAATCTCTTCAGTGCCCGGAAGCTGGGGTTGTTGGCATGCTGCAAAGTAAGATTTTTTTTTTTCTACTTTGCAGCTGCCCTCTGCACGTAACACCCAGCTTTTTAATGATAATTCATACACCCAGCATAGTGAATAAATTATTATTCTGCTTGGAGTGTGCCTCTAAAGTAACTTTATTGCACTAGATCGGTGCGCTCTTGCTAATTTTATTTACAGTAATGGCAGTTGCTTCCAAGTCATGATGTTAAAGTCATGATGGGCTACAATCTCAATGCAGGTTAGCGAGCTTGGAGGGGTGACTACTTTACAACACCAATATAAATATATGTATAAAGTCACTCGCACTCCAATAGAAGTTCAAGTCAAAAACGGTTTATTGACTCGATTGCTATCACATCATATAGCGACGTTTCGGAACAACAGTGGTTCCTTCTTCAGGCAAACAGAATGCCAGAACAGAAAATAAACCGTCTTTGACTTAAAATTCTATTGGGGTGCGAGTGACTTTATACATATATTTATCTTGGATTGCAGAGGCATCTGCAGTAACTTTGGCACCCACCCGACTCTAAGGGTATTATTCGTTCAGGAGTGCGATGGGTACACTGGATTTTGTACTTTACAACACCCACACACAGAGACCATGGGGAACAAAAGTAGCCACCCTCCAGAAGGAAGCACGGTGTCGGCACCAATTCAGAGATGATTGGAGGATCTACAGCCGAGTCATACACAAATAAGATACATTTTTGTTAAAAGTTAAGGTACTTGAATGCATTTTTTATATTTACCTCCTGAGTTTAGTGTCACTTTAATATAAAGTTGGATTTTATTTGCGCACCTGACAGCTCATTTCAGAATGTCCTGGTGCTTGGATGCTTTTTATACCAGATTGTAATCAATGAGGTTCTCAGGTTTTTATTGCATTTATAGGTGTTTTAGCTGTTGGTTTTTTTGGATTTTTAAAAATGTTTAACAATCATTTGTCTAAATATCATTCACTTTATTAGTGGCTAGTGAAGTTGGAATTTTCAGTTTTACATTCAGGGTAACATACTTTTAAAAACACCTTGGCTTTCACTTCTAAAAGAACGATGTGTTGCCCATTCAGGTGCACCATTTCAACTATATAACATGAGAAGTAACATTACTGTCAAATTTTGTTTTAGCCAGAACCTCCAAAGAAGCAATCCAACTGGAGGAGGAAGCATGAGGATTTCATTTCTACTATTAGAGCTGCTAAAGGACTCACCCAAATTATAAAGGAAGGAGGGGAACTTCCACCTCCACCTCCACCTTCATATGATCCTGGTAAGCAATCCACAGACTAACGTTAGGTTAGTAACATTTTGGCCGATTCAGCAGCGATGGGTTGCTCTACCTCCTCGACAAAAGTCAATGAGTACTTTAACTTTTGATGAAGGGACATGCTGTCAGTGTGGATGGATGAATCTGCCAAATTTCTCCATCACATGTACCCAGCTTTAGTCCTTTGTACAGTGTATTCATACAAGGAGCAGTAAACGTTAAGTTTTCCTTTTAAATCTGATTGTTTTTTATGGGATTGTGCACGTCAGTATTATTTGTTGTGTTTTATTGAACAATCTTCTGTGTGGCTTAAAAAGTTTTTGCAGCTTATTTCATTAGGTTGTTCTTATCTACATTTTGATAAAACCTGCTTCATCATGCATAGAATGTAATGTGCCATCATGTGCATTTTAGTGGAAAGATATGTGTGAGCTTCTTTCTTGTTTTACTCTCAAGACAGCTTTTTAATAAGAAGTGACATTGCATGTTTTTGTATTATATGATCTAGATTATGTCCAGTGCCCATACTGTCAGAGGAGGTTTAATGAGAACGCCGCTGACAGGCACATCGTTTTCTGCAAAGAACAAGCCGCTCGCATAGCCAATAAAGGCAAATTAGGCGGAGATGCGAAAGGGAAAGCAATTCCACGGACTCAGGTAATTAAATGTTGTTTTTGAATTTCAACGAACAGGCTGCAGTGTCACTGTCTGGTTACCAACTGCATCTCTGCAGACACTCTTAAAATGTAACCCTTTTATGACCAGGGGTCTTTGAAACCTTGATACCTAGGCCAAATTATGCAGTGTCAGCATAATTTGGATAATTTGACTCTAACTTTTGGACTAATTTGCATAGTTAAAGTGATAAACCTTTTAGGTTTTTTTTCTTTATCTGAATATTAGGCCCATACTTGCATAATATCACTATTATTTTTTTCTCAGTTTTTGTATTACCTGGTTTCTCTAGTTTGTCCCCAAACCACCCCACCCGCATGTTTGTGGGTGTCTCAATGAGCTAGCTGGCTGCTGAGGAGACACTTATGCATGTGCGTTCCCACATCTCCTGTGTGTGTCCATAGACACGCAGACACGCCCCTGCTCTGTCCTTCCAACAGGTTGACTGAGGGCAGAAGGAGCCAATCGCTTCTCTGCCCTTAGTACCATCCCCCAGAACCAGGAGGAAGTTCGGTAACACCGAGTATCTTCCTGGACCCGGCTGAAGTGACAGAGACCACGCGGTAAGTGCAGGGGGCGGAGGGGACAGGGGAACAAATAAAGGTACTGGACGGTTATTACCTTAATGCAGAGGTTGCATTAAGGTAAAAAGCAACCAGCCTTTAGTGCTACTTTAAATGAGTTATTTATATAATATATATAATATAAATAAATATTTTAAGGACATATACAGCTTTTTTTGGTACACTGTTTTCATTAAAATCCAGCTCTGTTTTTTTCATATGTATTTATTATTTTTTTTATTATTGTATCTGACAATTACAAGTATTAAACACATTGCATTGTAAATCCCACTGCAGGCTAAAGTTGGCAGGGTTCAATTTCAGGCTAAAGACTTTTATTTTCTCAATTAAGTCTACAGTTTGCATGTTATCACTTGATCAAAAACTGACCTGATTGGTTTGCGATCATCAGTGTAGTACCTGAGCTGTCGCGAGCTGCTGCTTCCAAACGGGATAGTTTATTAACGTAACTATTAGTTATTTACAGTTTGCAGTAAGGAAGGGGTTAAATGTATTGTATAGCACCACAGTGCTTCCCAGTTCATATTGGACACTGCTCCAAAAAACATATAGCACAGTGTCCAATATCCTGAACAATACATATTTCTTCTGGCCATTTAGGCTACAGCCAGTTAACTTGGCAGTCTTTGGTCATAAAGAATAAGTTTATTTATCTTTGTATGTGGAAAATAAATGCAAGTTTACTTATTTCATCTGCAAATGATTAGATAATTCAAGTAAATATTTACACAATTAATTGGGACTATTCTCCACTTCTTTAGTAAATCAGCCTCAGTGTTTTTTAGAAAGTGACAGGAAACTGGATCCGTGTCAGGAAAGCCTTGAAAATATGGACAAAACATAAAAACTCAATTGTATCTGCTTTCCAGGAAATATCATAGCATTGCTATTGACAGAAGAACTACTAAGTGGAGGCAGCTTCCGGGGCAGCATTTGGCCGAGTAAGAGTACTCTCTCAAATACTTGGTGTCGGCACCGATACTGATACTAGTATCGGTATCGGAGCATCCATAGTTTAGAACATCCCAAAATTAATTTTTCATGCCTAAGCTTTTTTTTTTTTTAAATCATATGAACAGATGACCCAATCCATAAACGCAACCCTTAGGCCCCTTTCACATGGGCAGTCCGATCGGGTTCGCCTGTCAATTTTTTTGGATTCCCAGTGTTAGTCTATGGATAGCTGTCTGTAGATGGACACGGGCGCCTGTTTATACCTGGTTGCCCCCGACTCTGGCCAGGTCTTGGAAAACAAGCGGAACAGCGTTCCGTTTCATCAGACCTAATCATGCTGGATAGGGGGTAATCTGATGTAAGCGGATACATGTCCGTTTACATCTGATTTCCCCATAGACTGACATGAGGTCTGGTCATTTCAGTTTTTTCTTGCGATGGTGGAAAAGACTAAATGAACACGTATGTCACAGCGGTGACATCTGATCCATACTGCTCTGATCAAGAGGGGATCTGTGCATGGATCCTCTCCTCATCAGCCCATGTGAAAGGGACCTTAACTTGAATCCATCTCTGAATGTAAGAAATATGATTTGATTTGGCTCACCGGTATTCTTTATCAATTCAACTAGAATTGTTCCCCGAGAATATTTAAATGCAAAATGTTCATGTTTTGAAGTGTTTCTTTTTAAGCAACCTTTTTGCTAACTGCTAATAATAAAGCGAGAGGCACCCTGTTAAAGAAGAAGAGTTCTTATCTGTCTGGCGGTTGGCGATTCCAGTCTTTGCTCTTTTGCAAAGCTACAGTCGCCAGTATCTGACACTTGGATGCCTGATCCCCTGCTTGTGCTGTCATTCCACCCTCAGGTTGCTATGTCCATACAGGACACAGTAGTGACATTAGGGTCGGCAGTTTGAGCTACGTCATACATAAGGGGACCAGGCATTCTTCGCTCCTGCAGGTGTCCGATACCAGTTCCTAAGGCAGAATTAGGATTGGAGTTGCCACCCGCAGACAGGTAAGTATTCTTCTCCTTTTACTAGGTGTTTCGAGGGGGATTTAAAGGAAACCTGTCATGAAAGAAACATGAAGGCTCTCATTGCTGACCTTTTCTTCTGAAAATGTAAGTTACCTTTTTGTCAAGCTGAACTTCTTGTTTAAGTACTTTGAGCCACTGACCTGACCTGAAATGAGTATGCAGATAAGGATTTCTGACTTCCTAGATCTGTATACAATATTAAAGATAATAGCTTACATGTTGTTAAGCTTATCAGTGCACACCATGCTCAGGAACATCGCAACCTGTACTAAGTCCACCCCAGACACCAATAGGAGTCCACCAGTGTATGTACCATATACCCCATGTACCCCTTCAGTCTATCATGATTACTGCTGCCAGACTCATCCACCTCACCAAACGCTAAGAGTCCACCACCTCTCTCTGCCAATCCCTCCACTGGCTTCCAGTAGCACAAAGCAGAATATTCTGAACACTAATAACAACCTACAAAGCCATCCACAACTCTGCCCCTGGACTATCTTTATTCTAAAATTCCTCCATCAGCTTTTCACATGCACTGGGCTATGTGGACACAGTTTTTATATTAGGCCAAGTCATGTGCCCAGTAATGAAAAGCTGATATTTTCAAACATGTAATGTATAGGGTCCTGATATTTTTGGTGTTGGAAGGGGTCATTGGTGAAATTTTTAGTAAAAGTGAATTTTACTTCCAACTTATTTTTTTAGGAATTTTGAGGGGAAATTTTCTGGCGGTGTTATTATTTCACTTTTATCCATGTCATAGCTGAGGGGACATCATTGCAAGCATGGTTTGTTATGAGCTACCAACATAGTTTAACAATATACTTCTCTGAGATGGTCCAACATGTTGTTGTGTTGTTTTCGGTTCTCTCCTGACGAATACTCTTTCAAATTAGTTATACTATTTTCAGAAATGATCTCCACTCCACTCTGACAATTATGACATTTATCAATGAATTTGCCAGTTTTGTAAATATCCACAATCAGTCTTGTGCCATTATGCCTGCAAAGACTCTTGAAATACCCAATGTGTTCCGTTCTGGTTCCCTTTAGGGTGATGGTGAACCACAAATATAACTTAATTTATGGAGTGCTATACTGCATTTTCAATGATTGTCAGCATACATATACTGTGTCAATACAGCAGATTATAGAAGATGCTGGATTTCCATAGACACACCCGTATCAATATTTTCCCATGTTAACATGCGGGGTTAACTTCAAGAGCCTGAAAGATAAGGGGATAAGCTAGTTACTAAATATTCTTTGTGATGTTGATGATTTTAAAGTTCTATGTTTGTTATAAAGGTGGAGCTGCGCTTTAATTCACTTCTTTTACCTATTTTTCTCTTTTGTAGGGCTGTTGTCTCTAGGTGCATAACATTGTGTGTAACCATTTTTTTTAGATCAAGCCCCCTACTCTTAAGAAGACTAATTCCCCTGCGTCTGTGTCCTCAACAAATTCTCGCTTGCCACAACCACCTAATATTGGTAAACCCGCTTCAGGTATGAAGGTTTTTGCATGAGTATTATGCAAACAAGTTACCAACATGACAGACACACAAATAACTTTTAGCACAGTATTTCCTTATTGGTGAACATTCAGTAAATACAGTTCAGTCCAGAACAGGGAATATCTGGTCTCACTATCAACATGTCGTCATTAAGTTGCTGTGAATAGTCTGGGCCAACTAAATTGATACAGTGTTCTGAAATATAGACCTAGAACCACCAGAGGGTGTGCTTCAACTCTTGCGGGCTATAGTGCCTTGGCCATTTCATTGTATGGTTGCAGTGTCACTCTGTATTGGTATTTGGATCATTGGCTTGGCATTAGTCCTGTGCATGGTGGAGTCCCTTATGCTCTTTAGTTATAGCAGACGCCAACATAACCCTTATTAAGCTAAGCAACATTTAGTAATCCAAACTGCAAAGTACAGTAGTCACCAATAACCAATCAAAATTGATCTCTAACTGATCTTCCTCCAGTAAAGTGAAATCTGATTGGTTGTTGTGAGGGTTATGTTGACCTCCTCGATAACTTGAGGTCATCAGAAGCCTTTCTGTGCACAGGACAATACCAAGCTAGTGCTTCTGGTTCACATGGGCATCATCACAATTGCACAGTTAAAGGAAAGCTGTGCTAAGAGAAATGTGCAGACAACCTTGACTTCTTGCTGAAAAAATAAATTGTCTGTTTGCCTCGCTCATCTAATGGCTTCAACAATTTCAGAGCCACTGTCCTGCAACAACTGTGCAGATCTAGAGGTCTGGCTTCACTTGCTGTGCAATTTGCTGCAGGTTCAAGCCAGTATGACAGCCAAGCCACGCTGGGGCCCATGAAAGTGGAAGTACACTACTCCTAATTCACAGAGTCAGAACATTGCATTAAATTATTTGGTCTAGACTATGTATTGGATCATAATACCCACGCCTTGAGAGGCAAACCATGCGTTCCCAATGTGGTGCTTTATTGCATGTGTGCTGTTTATACACTAGCACACATTCATAATATCTTGCAGGTATCCGAGGATACTTCTTTAGAAATGACTCTGAATTGATACTTAGTCCTAAAATTAGGCTGCTGCAGCAAGGGTCATTCTTTTTATGAGATGATGGGAACTTGCCTCAGGCAGAACCCCCTAGGGGTGCCTTAGCTGCCTCCTAGTCACAGGTGTGTAGAAGAGTACCATAGTTGTTGGGGGGTGGCACAGAGAAAATGGCCTTACTACCCATGTGGGGTGGTTTATACAATAACATTCAAAACTATGTATGTACCAACATCTGTTCAGAAGTTAAAATATTTGACAGATATATAGGCTGTGCAGCCTGTTATTGTGTAATTTGTTCTAATAAAGCACATTATTGATAGTTGGAAGATTCTTTGCTAGCTTAGTAGACAGGAATGCATCTGCGTTTTTGTAAATATGGCACCCTACTGTATCACCTTCATTTTAAATATTTCTTCTGAGTATCTCCTGAAATAATTGCATAGCCATCCATGAATGTTATTGAAAGCCTTTACATAACCTAGTTACTGAAAATCAGGTAATTTATTTATAATGAGTAGTAGAAACAATCTAAAAATCTGCCTGCTAAATTGATCAGTAGATCCAGAGATATAAAGATCTCCACAAACCCTAATGTCTCTGTACTAGCTTGCCCATTACATTAAAAGACCAATAGGGGGGTTCATGAAATGTGAAGGGGCAGGGCCAAGACTGGATTTTACAGTAGAGAATTGCCACCTCTGTCAGGATCTACTGAATGTTTTCATTTGCAAGTTTGTGGCAAGAGGGCCTCCGGGGATGCATACATTTATTGAGCGACTCCCTGTGTTCAGTGTACAGACGGCAAGTCGCTCCAGCAGCACCCAGAAGAGGACAGAGCTGACAGTCA